GGGGGAACCCCATCTGACCAATGTGAGGGGTGGCAAAATTACTCCAAGAATCGCTGCATTCTTCTTTACCTAATACATGCACTTGATGTTGAGCAGCCAAGTGCCCACAGCAGCACTGGCACTGAGTCAAAGGCAAATCAGGAACTCTGAACACCTTAATCTCAGCTAGCAGGGCTGTACAGCAAAGAAAGAACAAAACAAGATGAAAGACAAAAAAGAGCAAAAATTAAACACTGCAGAAAATTTCTTTACCCACGCAACACAAATTGGCATGCCTAAATAACCACCCCTTTGCAAGGCCTTGGATTTTAAAAATCAGAGAAACTCAGGCATATGTGTTCAGAAGGATTAAAAAAAAAAAAGAAAAAAAAGTAAAAAAAAAGTAATCAAATAACCTCATACCCCTTTACTCCAACTTGCCATTAGTGGCAGCCACACTGAATCTGGAACTTTCCCTCTGCCCACTCCCCCATGAGCTAAATTTATTGCTCACTTAACCTTAGGTTATGGTAATGAAAGTAATACAGCTTAAAATTCACACAAGTGGGTTTCAAACCTGGCTTCATATGGCTCTTATCACAAAAGCTGTAAAAACATTACCCACTGAAATGTACTTCATTAAAAGTAAGCCTGAATGGGTGAGCTTTTGGTCTTAAATGTTGTTTGATATAAATCTCTGTGCCATCGAAGTCTCCAAAGCAGAATCGTCTTTCTCTTACTGGTGGCAGACACCCCTTTAACCAGACACAGGCTGGGGACCAGAGCTGGGGCTGCATCCTCACTGGGGCAGAGCCAGCATGCGAGGGCTGGGCTGGCAGGTCCTCCTGAGGGTCAGCTGAAGGATGACCATGCCAACACCATGTCTTCTCACTGGCATCATGAGCTCACCTCAGCTGGCTCTGCTGGTTCTTTAGAATCACCACATGAAACCGCAACAGGTGATGTAGCTTGCCTCTGAGTGGCATTTTGCTGTCGAAGTTAACAGTGATTTTGGACAAAAGGCATCTCTGCCTGAGGTTTGACTACTCTGATTTTCAAGTTAGCTAGGTATGCACCTGAGCATTATCTCTGAGAACTGCTGCCTCTGCCCTGCTGTTGTGGACTGGTCTCCCTAGTCCACAAAACCTGTTTTAAACTCCAATAAAGAACCTCCCACCCCCAGGGCCTCTTGAAATATCACTCCAGCCAGAGACAGAAGTGGGTGCTTTACCCAAAGGGCAAGAGTGTGAGTGATGCAGAGAGCAAGGACTCCTCAGTTCCAAGAGTATGACTTTACCCCAGTCCAAAAAGCAATGTCTGGATTTAATCATGGTCTCCACTGTCACTCATACAGCATGAGGTGGGCAGTCCAGCCCTGAGACTTGACAGGACAATGGCAGGAGTAGAGTGGGCGAGGGGCCGTGTCCTGCAAGGAGACAGCTGGGCAGGTTTTCTCACCAGCTGGGACCAAACTGCACCCAGCAGTGAAATGGCCTAGGTTTCACACTCTCAGCTTTTCTTTACCCTTAGCCAAGCTCTGCTCTTGCTTATTTATGAAATATCAAACTCAAACCCAGAAAATGTCACTAGTCCTTCTTCCCCTGCCTCTCCCAATAGCAGAGATGCAACCTGCGAGCACGGCTGGGAACTGCTTCGAAACACAGCACTGCTGGCAAGTGACAAGAAGTCCTTCCTCCCTGCCAACCTCTCCAAAAAAAGGACCAGGCATCAGGAGGAGATGAAGTTGCATCTCCTGGACAGCTGCACCGTTCACTGCCCCCTACCCCACCAGCTCCCAAGCCAGGAGGGAGATCCCTCCCCATCCTGGGTGCTGGAGCTGGGTGGGGAGAGCCCACAGCTCTGCAGACCCCTCCGGGTGATTGCACAGTCTCCCCCACCACATACACTGTTCCGATGCTCTGGGAGGGTCTTGGTCAAAAGTTTAGTGCCAACAGACAGAAAAGGTGAAATAACATACTGTGAGGTGACTGGAAATGCACTGTAAAACTATTTGAGCTCTTCAACAGGAAGCACAGAATGCTGCCAGCTGAAGCCAGTGGTTCTCCCAGCCACTCAGAAGTCCAACCTGGAGCCTACCCCACCCTGGGATTTTGTCATCTGCACCTAAGAGAGCAAGCAAACACCAGCCCAACCAGCATGCAACCACCACAGTCATGGCAAAGCAACCTCAGGGGAAACTCACCTTTCAACTGCTCTGCCCGTCTTTAATCTGCTCAGGGGCTGGCTCAGGAGGCTGGATGGAGAAGAAATAGGGAAAGGGGAAGGATCCTCTGGTATTCCTCCAGCTGAGATCCTAAAGCTTGGTGAGGAAGGCTGGAGACTCCCCCTTAAAGCTGAACTCCACCTTATCCCAGTATCACATGATGGTGCTCTGCTGTGCAGATCCTGAAAATCTCACTGCAAGCACATCACCTTTAAATTACACATCTGGGGGTGGGTTGCCTAGTAATTCCGAAATAAATGCAATTAAATATTGAAACAAAAGAGGAGGGGGGAGAGCACAGGGAAAAGCTCAGGAAGGGAGTCAGTTTTAAATCGCTGTCTGGCTGTTTCAGCATTTTGTCTGCAAGTTATTGCCATCTTGTGGACAAGCTAAAGATGGAAATAGAAACTTGGAAAGTGGACGAGGAGGCGATCTTAAGAGGCAAGTTGCAAAGTTCGGGTTTGGCTTTTTAAACCAGTACAGCTAGCTTCTGCTCTGTATTTATCATGAAAAGCGATGACAGGATTAATAAGAATTGTCAAGCTGCTGCTCTTGCTACTGTTTTTTTTTCAGCTAGAAGTAATAAGAAATTCTTTTTAAAGTAAATTAAGTCAATAGAGTATCAAACCTCAAGAAAATACAGCTGTCACTGTGGCCCTTGTGGATATTTTTCTGATTCATCCCAGCCATGTGGTTCACCATCCTGTACGACCCATGGAAAAAGAAAGGTACTTCTGCAGGTGCCTACAGAGTAGTGGGATATTCCAGGGAGCTGGAAGGAAAATGGACCCCTGCAAATGAAGTACAAATCTCCACAGTGTGATGCAGAGCTGGAAAGGTGATAGCTGTTGCCTTGGCCAACTCTTCTAATTATTTTGAAAACTCGTTTCCAGCAACTAGACTTTTTTTAATGCAGCTGGCATGAGTAGTTCTGCAAACTGCTACTATCTATAGGAGTATAGTTTACTGTTTACTGAATGAATTCATAAAAAGCAAAACAGAAAATTTCTTTTTCCATTCGCTCTTTTCATAATTCAGATATACCTTGCTCTTCCATTCACAAACAGCACTGCTGCAGAAGATCTACTTCAATGGGCATAAAATCCAGTGATTTTGGAAGTCTGAGAGAAGTTACCCATATAAACTTAAGCAACACTTTGAAAATGCCCTGACAAATCCTTCAGGCTGTATTAGGAGTTTGGATTTCTTGGAAAACATCAGTGGCTTAACTCTTCCAAGGGTCCAGATTAATTTTTCAAGTGTAAGGAATTACATGTTCTTACATTCTTACCTTCAGGCATACTCCTATTATAAGGCAACACTGTTATGTTATGGATAACTCTCAGGTGTGGAACCATGTTAATTACAGCAAAAAACCTGATTGCACATGAGAAATGACTGTAACATTTTTTTGCAGAATGAGCCTCATGGGAAGGTTTCAGAACCCAGCGCTGAGGCTGGTGTGTACATTTTATTTCCAGGAGCTTGGCTCAACTGGATTGTATCTGCACTCCTCAGTGTGAGAAACAGAGGTGCAGGCATACCTCAAGGTTGTTACAAACCAGGAGCCAGGGCACTGCTGACATTTTAATAGCAGCAGCCAGAAGGTAAGTGCAGGCTGTATATGATGCCTCTCAAGAACCTCAGTCATCTGTGGCTCATCAACATGCACCATTCTCTGCCTGAGCAGAGCAAAGGTGAACACACTCAGGCAGAGATCTAAGCTGAAGATCCCACAAAAAGCATATTTCTGTCTAAAGCAGCAACACTCGAGGACATGTAGAACCGAGAGCTCTCATTGCTATGCATGTGGAATGATCCATTCACGTTACCCCCCCAAAAAAAAATATTATTCAATATAAAGAGTTTAAGGGCAATAAATGTATTTCTAGATAGGGAAAAAGTCTTTTTTTTAATGCCAGGATGATCCCACTACTTCCCTGTAATGCTCTTATCCATACTGGGAAAGATGGCTATTTAAAAAATTAAAATAAGCATTCTGTGGTACAGAATTGTAGTACTCTGCCAACAGGTATCTAGAGCAGAGATACATTTTTAGGACCAGTTGAGAAAAAAAAGTTCAGGTTTACATGACAAGGTTTTGGTATTGGGGGACTGCAGGGGTGGCTTCTGTGAGAAGACACCAAGTGCTGGCGCCTTGCTGGACAGAGCCATTTTCAGCTGACTCCATATTGGACCCACCACTGGCCAAAGCTGAGCTCATCACTGATGCTGGTGGTGACCCTGTGATAACATATTCAAGAAAGGGTGAAAAATTATGCATACCAGATGTGAGAGAGAGGAGTGAGAAAAATGTGAGAGAACCAGCTTTTCAGACACCGAGGTCAGCAAAGAAGGAAGGGAGGAGATGCTCCAGGCACCAGATCAGAGATTCCCTTGCAGACTGTGGTGCAGACCATGGTAATATAAATTGTTCCCTTGGAGCCCATGGAGGACCATAGTGGAGCAGATTTCCATGCTGTGGTCCGTGAAAAGGAGCACACACAGGAGCAGGCTTTCTGGCAGGAATTGTGGCCCATGGGGGACCCATGCTGGAGCAGTCTGTTCCTGAAGGCCCCCCCC